AGTCTTGGTTGGTTCTACTTAAAACAAAGAGAAAGGCAGCTTTTTCTCTGAGATGTTTTGATGGAATTTCCCCATGGACAGTAACTCAGGGAAATAGATTTATTCTGTGTGACCCTAGGAATGCATCACAGCCAATCCTCTCCATAGCAGCATACAGCAGCCAGCTGCGTAGACCCACATGCCAGTAGATAGTGAAATTGATGCAGATTTGCAGAAGAGACTGAGAATTGTCAAGCTTTACAGAACACTAGTGGAGATTTTATCTAGTGGAACAAGAAACCAGTTAGGACACTAAATTTGACGACTATAAGCTGCTGGAGTTTGTATAATCATATAGAAAAGCAGCAATGACAATTGCATGGCATACACTTGCTTTTGCCTGAGGTCTACTGACCAGTCTATTTCACTTTAGACATATTGTTTTAATCTGCTGAGAGCTGCATGGGTTTTGCCATTGACAATGACATTCTGAGACAGGGTCCAAAGCAGAAGCAGTGGGGCTGGATCTTCACAATCTTCACAATTGGGTTGGATCCCTTCCAATCTAAGCCATTCTATGACTCTATGATTTGTCTTTTGATCTCCATGCTGCCCTGTCATTGCATAGTACTTGGACTGACATATACTGCTACAACATGCAACTGGACCAGCATAAAGAAAACTGTGTTATCGCTCAAATCCAGCCTACAGCTGGTGGACAGTCAGAACAATTCCTCTCTCAGGAGAAGATTTTTGGACTACAGATTTAACTAGAAAAGATCACTAGTGCAAACTTCATCATCGGCGGTAACATCAAATGGCAAGGCATCACCTATTTCCGGTTGCTGTGTCTGTGGAAGAATGTAACATGATGTTACATTTGATTTGATATGTCCAAATGACAGAGGAGTGAGTTAAGACGTAATTTTTGCCTTTTTTCTTTTTCCAGTTACCTATCTCTAAGGCAGACCTGATCTTATAAGAATAAATTGTGTTAAACCAGAGAATCATCCATTAATGACTAACAAGTAAAATCTACCACTGTGTGGGTGTTCTGGGTCTCTGTACTGATTGCAATAGAGGCCTGCACCATCCTCCTAAAACCATGCCTTACATGAAGAAACCATAGGTGCTCATATTTGTCTCGGCAGATCTTGGTTTTGCCCTCAAGATACATAAATCTTTATGTTGTGTTCACAAGTGTAAATACCATGGTGCTCCACCAGCAAACAAAATAACTAAACTGTGAGTACCAGCAGATCCATACATCTCTCTTCTGAATATGAAGACTGGTGAGCAAAAGCCTTTGTGGCACTGGAGGGAAATATTCTGCCAGTTTTCTGTATGTTGGAGAAGAAATTTTAAAGAAATTGATTCTACTCTCTGATCGTTTCTAAAAATACATAAAATTATTCCTGCTGTTAAATTACTATTTTCTGGTACCTGGAAGACTCCTAATTGATTAAAGAAAATTAATTCAGCGCAATAAATTATTTGTAAGTTAAGTATCTGAAATACCTATGTTATTAATATTTTTGATTTAAAATTATTATTTTATTCAGGTGTCTCAAATAACTCATTAAAGTCCAGAAAAGTAACTTGAAGGGTGAATACCAATCCCTGGAGCAAAAGCAGCTCAGCAAGTAGTTGTGCCAGCATGGATTTGGCTCAGAGTAACTGCTTATTTCACTGGATCTGTACAAGTTAAACTTATCCAGACAATTCACAGTTACTCCCAGCTGGGGGAAAAGAAAGAAAATACAGTCACAGTTTGGAAGGAATTCTTTTTTTTCCCCTGCTAAACTAGCTTGAACTTTCCTAGGAAAGGTCAGAGTTTGCCAGTTAGCAACATTTCAATTAGACCTCCACCAACAACCTCTGTGGGAGTGCAGGTTAATTTTCTCCTCTCCTATGCTGTGACCTCCCCCAGCATGGGGTTCTGCCAGCAGAAGTGGACAAGTCTCACAACCTTTCTGTCCACCACATAGAGGCACCCCTCAGTGAAAAGCCTTCTAAAAGAAAAGTGCAAAATCTTTTTGTGGGAATCCTTCTACTCAGAACCTGCTTCTTGTAGCCCATATGGGTCACACAGATAGGATAGGATAGGATGTTTTGGCTGACACGCCTGAAGGCTGTGCTGCCATTCAGCAAGACCTGGACAGGCTGGAGAGCTGGGCAAAAAAAAACAGATGAGGTTTAACAAAAGCAAGTGTAGAGTCTTGCATCTGGGGAGGAATAATTCCATGCACCAGTACAGGTTGGGGGATGAGCTGCTGGAGGGGAGCTCTGCAGAGAGGGACTGGGTGTCCTGGTGGACGACAGGTTGGCCATGAGCCAGCAGTGTGCCCTTGTGGCCAAGAGGGCCAATGGCATCCTGGGGTGCATTAAAAAGAGCGTGGCCAGCAGGTCGAGGGAGGTGGTCCTCTCCCTCTACTCTGCCCTGGTAAGGCCTCATCTGGAGCACTGCGTCCAGTTCTGGGCTCCCCAGTACAAAACAGACAGGGATCTCTTGGAAAGAGTCCAGCGGAGGGCCACAAAGATGGTGAAGGGCCTGGAGCATCTCTCCTATGAAGAAAGGCTGAGTGAACTGGGTCTGTTCAGCCTTGAGAAGAGAAGACTGAGAGGGGACCTGATCCAGGTCTATAAATATCTAAGGTGTGGGGGGCAGAATGGCGAGGCCAGACTGTTTTCAGTGGTGAGTGGAGACAGGACAAGGGGAAACGGCTGGAAACTGCAGCATAGGAAGTTCTGCACAAATGTGCGCAAGAACTTCTTTACAGTGAGGTGACGGAGCACTGGAACAGGCTGCCCAGGGAGGTGGTGGAGTCTCCTTCTTTGGAGAAGTTCAAGACCTGCCTGGATGCCGACCTGTGCGACCTGCTGTAGGGAACCTGCTTTGGCAGGGGAGTTGGACACTATGATCTCTGGAGGTCCCTTCCAACCCCTACAATTCTGTGATTCTGTGACCACCTGATTCATAAGGCAATATAAGGAACCTAAGTTCATGTTTCTTTATAAGAAACCTCTTCAAAACACAGCAGTTTTACTCAATTCAGAGTTAAGGTCACCTAGACTTCTTCAGGAATACTTCCCTCTAACTAGGCATTGTCACCTTTAGACAGGATTGTATAAAGGCTTTCAAGTGCATACATAGGATGCAAAACATTTCAAAGGATATCTGCACCCTTACAAATACCTTCTCTATTCACAGAGGAATAAGGTACAGCATTTTCTATGAGCCAAGATCATGTACAAGACATTTTGCCTAGCAAAATATAAGACAAGGCATCTGATATGAAATGGTAAAAGCCTACAGAAATACAAATGGTCAGATTTATGAATATCTGCCTCAAGCTTAGTTCTACTCGATGACCAACAGCACCCTATTCTGCTCCTGAAGGACGTGCCCCCCGGTGCACTCTGACACTACTGTACAAGACCATTCCTTCATGTCAGTCACCACCGCATGTTTATACTCCTGCTTGGTTAAGACACAAGTAGGTGCTCCAACCTGATCCCAAAATGTCATATTTTTCCCCAGTTTGATTGAGATCATTGAACAGATATTTGTAGCTGTAAACATGGAAATCAGACCAATTTCATTCCTTTTTCTTTCCTAATCAGGCATTCTTGTTCCATTTAAAATTCTGAGGAATCTCTAATATGAACATTCTTTACTCTTATCTTCTTAACTTGAAGTTAGTTCTTACATGGTTTATTTTTAACCAGGTATTTCATTCCAGCCTTTTCATGCTTTCTGCAATATACTGAAAATAATGGATGCTGTGAAAAAAGAATTGAGTCAACTTACTAGTGCAAAAGGCTCTGGCTTTTCAGCATTTCATATATCACAGAGCAACAAAGAAATGATAAAGCTGGGGAAGGAATGACTGCACTGAATGATACTATCCCCACCCCATGTGGATTTTAAGGCTCACTTATCTATTTTATATTTATAGCCCCTAGTGATTCATGATGTGTTAGAGCCCTATGCTGACTGAAGCCCCCAGCGGTCTCCACTACTAGGCTGCCTAATTCAAGGCAAAATCCAACCTCACTCAACAAGAGCTGAAAATTACAATGTCCATATCCAAAAAAATCAGATATATCAACATATATGTTGATCACTAAGCAAAATTTCAATACACTGACCAAGGTTTCACAATTTCTTTCAGCAGCACTAGTATGCTATATGCAGCAGCACTGAGAAGTCTCAGCTGAGAGGACATACAGCTTCACTTTGGCCCTCTAATGCTTTTTTTTCTTTTCTTTTTAAACCAGCAGCCCACACACAAAACTAACACAAAGTACTCAAATTCAGACACAGTAGTATTTAGCACTTATATCATCCTGGCACACTAAGCTGAGTACAGATCAGGCCCAGTGATACAGTATCTTGCTTATCCAAGATTGAGATCATAGTTTCACAGGATGAAGGTTTTGGTAATGAGGCCAGTGTGACTAGCTCTTTCTGGAGTTTTTACTGGGATTCTACATTCAAGCTTGTATCCCTCCTTGTTTAAAGTCAGCACAACCAGACTTCAATTGTACCTTCAGCCTGATCATTTTGACCATGCATTCCGGCCAAGCAGACACTGAGAAATCACACTCAACCAGAATTTCTCTGTGCTCCTTTTGCCTCAACCAAATGCACGAGAACTGATCATAGTAGGTCATAGATCGTAGTAGAAAAAGCTACTGACAGATGTTTATCTACATTAGGACAGAGAAACATAATTTAGTGGGAAATGCCTTAACTGGACAAAGCATTTGTGATGATTTTCACTAACATTTGTGGTTATTCTGGCAGCCTAGAAAGCATGGCATGGGCAGAATGACATCTCCAGTAATGACTATAGGCTAGTACTGGGTTGCAAGAACAGAGCATGATTAATAAAATATTCTTATATCCTGGAGAAAATATAAGACAGATAAAGTAACTTCAATTGGAGATATTCAGTCATCTCCAATACTGCATTTCTTTTATTTGAGAGAAAACAAGGCTTATAGCTTTAGGAGGTTTAAAGAGAAAATTGTTTACTTTGTGTAGGCTTTTATAATTTTAAAAATACTCCAAGCAAAACCATGTTTTCAGAAAGACTAAGCACCCGGCACCAAGACAGCACCATTTCCACTGCTTATAGGAGCTACAGTTCATCTCATCTCTCTAGGTACTATATGAAGTTTCATATCAGTGTCCTGGTATAACTATTATACATTTTCCCAATAAAAATTCACTTCACTTTTTACCCCCAGCTAACAATAGCTGTGAACTTTCTGCTAAAGAATCAAACTCTTTAACAGTCAATAAGAAAGTAGGACAATTCTCTAGCTCACAGCCTGTTTGTCATAGGTGCGCTGCGTAAAAACCACCAGTTGCACATACACTAGGTTTTGTACTTCACAGTTCATTGAACAGAGAGGCCATCTGCACACCAGGATGAAGGGTATAGACAGAATCTCTGCAAGAATATCAAGTCCCAGAGTAAGCTGTCAGCCATTTGTAAATAACTGAATAGAAACAGATCAATAAGTCACTGTTAGCTGCACAGTAATAATTCTTAGTTCTCAAAATTACGTAGTTTTTCTGATTGTATGAAAACAGCTTGAGTAATACTCAATTATAGAATCTCTGCTTACTTAGCTATTGGTGATGAAATCCAGCTGAAATTCTGGATTATAAATATAAATATATATAAATTAGTTAAATTAGTTTGCAATCTTTTCTGAAAGGAAAAGCACTACCCACCTTCAGTCCTTACTAATGTTCCTGAAAGTTTTCTTTTTTGTTGTTAGTTCATAGCTGTGAATTCAATTTTACCACTAGCTGCTGTTAAAGCACAGAATTCTGTGGGAACTCTGAGCACAAATTAAATGCTTAGCTTTGATTTCTTTAATAATATCTCCATATGAGAATTTGGAAAAACTGAAAAGTATACTTTAGGATGCAGACAAGAAGACACCATCAGTAATCAGATACTTATCTCAGCCATGAAATTTCAAGGCTCTGAGGTGACCTGATAGCAGCCCTTCAATATCTGAAGGGTAGCTACAGAAAAGAAGGGGACAGACTCTTTAGCAGGGTCTGAAGTAACAGAACAAGGGGAAAATGGCTTGAAGCTTAAAGAGGGTGGATTTAGGTTATATATAAGGAAAAAGGCTTCTACAGTGAAGGTGGCAAGGCACAGGCACAGGATACTCAGAGATGTGATTAATGCCACATCCCTGGAGATTTTCAAAGCCAGGCTGGCCCAGGCCCTGGGCAACCTGATGTAGCTGTGCATGTCCTGCTCATTGCAGGGGAGTTGGACTAGATGGCCTTTAAAGGTCTCTTCCAACTATAAGGATTCTACGATTCTATAATTTCAAGGAGAATAGAAATATGCCAATTGCCCAGTGCTGCTCATGGTCTTCATTCATTCACAAATCCAGACCCTAGCAGATGGTGTCATGTTGAAGAATAGGAAATTATTTCCCCCCAAAAGCAGAGATAGGACTAAGTTTGAGACAGGAAACCTCTGATAAATTTGCAGTCCTTTTAAGTAATATGATTGTGCCCGTATATTATTATCTAAGGGTTAAAGACTCTCTTCGAGAGAGAACATTCCCCCTCTCATTTTTAATTATTTGCTTCATAGGAAGTTCCATTTGCAGCTAGAACACACAGGTAGCTGTTGTCCCTCAAGAACTGAATCATAGACAGGCAACAGAGTACAGAAGGAAAAATTAGCATTGTTGTCAGCTTACTAGTAAAAATCTGATCAGGAAAAAAAAAAAAAAAATACCTACATCCATAATATAAAAGTTCTGCTGTATTCCACTACACCCTTGCAGCTGAGTTGCACTCCTCAGGTCATACAATTCCTGTAATTGGAGGAGGCTCAAATATTATCCAGCAAGTGAAGCATGCATACAGTGCTCTTCCAATCATCCTGCCATGCTACAGTCAAATTCAGCAGGATCCTTGGCATTCTGAGGTCTCCTTACTCATTTAACCTGTTTGACAATCTGATTTTAGCAGCTCATTTCCTACATATCATCTTTTCCTCTAACTGCTGGTACCTGCAAGAAATAGCAGTGCACAAAAAAAAAAATCTTGCAGCTGTTCATCCTGAATGCAAATAGAACTGCTAGGCAGGCAGTCATTTTCCATAATACAGAAGAGTTTCATTTGGCTCTCATACAGGGGATCCATATTTTAAAGCCAGGGAAGTGGGACCAGGGAGAACATATCTGAAAAATATTTGGTTCAGGAAGGTTATTACTGGAGTAGATCAAGTTTTTTGTCAGACTTTAAACCTGGCAATATTGTGGGAGACTTCTTGAGACTATTTTCCTTCATTCAACCAAAAATCTGTTCTTGCAATCAGCAGAGAAATCTGTATACCTGCAAATTGGCACCAACCAAGAAACACAGAGATGCTGAAGCACAGAGTTATTTTCACCAGCATTGGAGTACTGAACTTCATTAACTTTCCTTAAACTCACCCTGAAACTCCGGGGATTTCAGGGATGGATTTATGCTGACTTTGCACAGAGACAGACAACTGAATGGATGGAGAGAATACTTCTCATATTCTTACAATTGGTGTTCTGAAGAACCTAAGAAATGAATGTAGAACAGAAATAAAAGTTTTGAACCAAGAGAAAAATGCACACTTTCCCATAAAGAAAGATCAACAATCACGTATCTGGGACAAAATGTGAAGCGAATAGACAAATCATAGGAAGATATACATGCCTTGCTTTTGCCACAGGCATTGGATATGTATATTGATAAAAATACTTTGCAGATTTATCACTAGTAAATGAAGTACATTTAGTGTGACATGAGTCATTCTGCTAGACACAAAGAACTGCTACTACAGGTTTTTACACAATCTTTACTGGTTATTGATTTTTACATCTTCCACTGAAGTAGCAGATACTGACCTCCTTCTAACTGGTAGATGAAGTGGGCTTTGGGTTCCATCTGCTGTGCAATTCATATGTAAAGCGGAGAATCAGTTAGCAGAAGTAAGTTGGAATTAAAAGCCAGGGAATAATGGCTAAAACTCAGGAAATGTTGAGATACATTGTTCATTTACATAGGGGAGTGAGCAAAAAGCTAACAACCAAATATAAACTTCAGCTGATGCCATGGCCTGTCTCTCATATTAAGATCTTCTTTATTTCTTCATGGAAATCTACATTTAGAAGAGTAAGGTCAAAGATATAAGTGATGCATCATAGGATATTAAACTACTTCCCACACTTGTCACTGTAGAATTCTGTAGGATGAAGCTGTAGAGAGCTGCTGGCAGAGTTGATGGACTATACCTGGGGCTAGTGGGATCCTAACTCATCTGGCATTTCTTTTTAACTGCTCACTCAGAAGGGTTTAAATAGTGTAATGTATTTGTACTAGCTAGTTTTGAAATCCATTTTAGTCAGTCATGTGTAACTACGTGTAGAACAAACATACTGGGCCCATGATAACATAATCCTTACAGCTAAGAAATTAGGTGAATTACTCTTGGTTCTCTAACCAGCACCAAAGAGGCAACTAGATGGGAAGAACAGTGCAGAAAGAAGGTTTATAAAAGGAGTACCAACAGCAATAGGAAAAGAACTATGACTGGGAAGATTCTGAAAGACTCACAGAAAACTGAGAATGTCATTAAGGTGCATGCCCACAAAAGCTCTATGAGGAAGAGGCTAGAGACATCAGTTTCACAAAGCAGCTGATGTTGTGTCAGCCATCTACACCTACCATCTCAGCACCTTCACAGGTATCAGCACACAGAATATGGTTGGAAATAAGGAATTGCAGGGGAGTGGGGCCAAATTGCCTACATTTTCTGTTTCATCTCACACCATCTAGATACTGTTCACAAGTGCAGTGGTGCAAATCTAGATAAAAAAAACAAGGAGTAACACAGCTGAATGCTCTGCACTTTTGAGGATGTAGCAGGTAAGCAGGCTCCCAGGAGAGTGCTTGGACAGTGAAAGTAGACAGAAGAATATATATCTTTGTACACAACTGCTTTCACGTGCAAAAAAAAAAACAAACAGGTGTTGCCCTTGCCAGAGATTAAACCAGTTTATTTGCACGAGGAATTGATAGTGGTAATCTGTTCTTTTGTACTCCCACAATCTTCAGACAGTGAAAACTACCACAGAGTTCAAAGCAGAACTGCAATCCCCAGAGAGATCACCCTAACAGAATGGCAGCTACCTTAGTATAGGTTTACATGACTATGCAAGTCATCTGTATTTCAGAAGCCAGGATTTCAGAAGTTACTAAGAGCCTTTCAAAGCGTTAATTCTGTCTCCTTCTTAAAACTAGATATGAAATCAAACTGTCATCACTAACAAAGGAAACCTAGTGCTGCAGCCTTGGTTTAGCAGCAGCTTCTAATCTTAATTAAAATGCAGAAGAGAGCCAGGTTGCTCTGTGCTACATCCATGCTTTTGTTGATTGCAGAAGAGGCTGCTGAGAGCACAGCACTCTTATAAAGTCAGAACATTTATTTTTGGTTCATAAATATTAATTCAAGGCACTCAACCTCAAAAATTTGAAATTCTTGGATCTTTTTTATTATTATTCATAACACAATGATATTTTAACTGGAAAAAAGTAATTAATAGAATATTAATTTTGTTCTCCTGTCTTGGAATCATTATGAGTTTATCTACACATGAAAAAATGCAAGTACATGGCTATATTTTAAAAGAGGCAAATATTTCACCTTATTTTATATAAACACGCAAAATACTTGCTTTACATTTAGATGTCTACTTTGTTATACACTGATGTTTCTTTAGAACTAGGTCTGTAAGGCTTCCTGAGTTTTCCCCAAATGAAGCCTCTATCATAAAATCAAAGTAAGGCAGAGACTAATTAGTTTCAAAGGAGAAAAAGTTTTGTCAGGCTGGACAAGAGCATTTTGCAGAAACCTGATAAAAATCTGTAGGCGACTGATAATATGCTAACAACATACTGTTTCAGTACCATCACTCATTTGTGAAGGATCACATTACCCTGTAAGAAAGTTTTGACAAAACAGCAGCAGAAAAATCAAAAGAAACTTAAGCAGTTTCTAGGTGACATTTTCTCCTGAAGCATCCTTTCAAATCTATCAGAGAAGTAGGAATTAGAAATGCTTGGGAGTATTTCCTCAGGGAACCCAAAGTTGTGCCAAAATAATGGATCTAAATATTTGGTCCAGTAACACTGATCCAAAGCACCTCATGGGCACTGTTACAGGCTTTTTTTTCACGTGAAAAGTAAAAGAAAGTCTTTGCAGAACAGTTATATCTTGCAATCTCCCTCTTCCCTACAGCTTTTGTTGTTGGTTTTTCTGTTTAATTATTTATTTTAAAGCACAATACTCATAAGATGTAAGAGAGATGAGTAATAGAGTTCTTAGGAATAGGAAAATTGAGAACTTTTCTCCTTCTGAAATTTGGTATTTAATAACTCCATATCAGTAGGACAAAGTGCACAGCAGCTCAGTATCTATGGCTGACACATCCTCCATATATTCTCTAGCAGATTCCTTGTGATGTTGTACTAAACAGTGGATCATTCATATGAATGAGAAGACACTGAAAAGACAATCAGGAAAAAGACACTAAGCTCCCCTGCTTTTAAAGCATCTTCTGAAACAAGGACAAATCACTGCATCAGGACTAAAAGGGTTACCCCTTGCAGGTGCAGTACAATTCCCCCAGCTCTGCATCCTCTTCTCCTAGTGGATGTCTTGACATTAGGGATGCTCAAAAATCGATTGGACAGGGCACCGAGCAGCCTAATCTAGCTATAGGCATCCCTATTCATTGCAGGAGGTTGGACTAGATGGCTTTTAAGGCTCCCTTCCAACTCAATTCTATGTTTCTAACCTCAGCTCCCTCTGTGCAGGCACACTCATTGGAGGTAGAATGCTGGTTGGCCACTTTCACAAGTGAGGCTAAAGCCAACAGCCTTGGGACTGCATAGGGATCAGGTGTTGGATAGGGCAGGCATGGAATTCAGAAACCTTTGACATTCCCACCTGTTTATCAGACACAATTGGAACTAATAAATGAGCAAAGAATATTATTAGCTGAAAGGCAGAGGGAAGGTGAAAAGATTTCTGAGATGGATGTGGGAAATTCTCCTTTATCTAAGAAATTCAGAAAAAAAAATATTTACATACCATAATGAAAAGCCAAATCTTTGGAAGCTGGGATAATTAAGATATCTGTAAAGGATTTCTGAACATCTGAACAAAATGTCATGTGTTGATCTGCTATCAAAACCGTTTGGTTTCCTGGCATCATCCTCCCTTTTAAAATGTAATTTCCAGCAATGCACTTACTGGTCCTAATACTGCTGAATTCTACATGAACCATTGCACACGTGTATGTTTTTCACATTTAAGCAAGAGCACATTTCTATAGGTCAGTCATGCCAAAAAAGCACCTGTATAGACAAAATAATCACATACTGAAATATTTCTTGAGTAGAGGCAACCATAGCTTTCATAGCAAGTCAGAAGAATAAATGCAAGTAAAAGTAGGCAAAAGCACATGTCCAGCTTCACTTCTAATTCCAGACTCTCCTCTGTTTTTATAATGAAAAAAAAATAAGAAGAGTAAGAACATTACCAAGCCTGGAAGCAGAGCTGTGCCATAAACTTCACACATGGAAAGAAAAAGCTGTTGGCTGCATTCAGAAGTTCTTTCACAACTGACATATGGGACTATAACCTTTTCAGTCAAATAGCAGTGTTAAAAAGTACAGTTGGTCAAAGTGTTAAGACTTCATTTTTAATATGAAGTTGCAGATGAAGGACTCTTCTCTGGAGCAGCACTCGGAGAAAGTGCAGCTTAGGGCATTGTTTTGCTCCCACTCTGTCATGAGCAGGAGGCTCTGAGAAGTACCAGGCTCCTGGTTTGTTGCAGGAAGCTGCCAAAACACTCAGTGCGATTCACAGCACTCAGGAGGGGATCCTGCAGAGGAACAGGCAGCAGTGGGGCAGAACCAGGCGGGAAGTCTGAGTTTGAAGGCTTTCTACCACCCCAAACCCAATGTGCTGAGTTACTCAGCTGCCTCCTTAGCAATGCACAAAAACCATTTCACAATTTTAGAACAGCATCATAGCAGTGGATAGCAAGTCCATTTACAGACCATACACCCTCCAAAGCAAGACATTTTTCAGCCCCAAGATTGCCCAGTCTGGTAGATTCTCATTTGGCCAGTGATTCCTCAGTTACAGTTCCATTAACCACACTGCAAAGCAGTACTCTGGACTAAGCCACTTGGTAATATAGAAACAATCTGGAGCAAGTCCTGCTGGTCACCACAAAGAAACCCTGCTGATTTCCCAAGCAGAAGTGAGGTACAATCTATGTAGATGAGACAGACCTATCCTCCTGGGTGCTAAAAAAATACAGAGATGGGTAGAAAATGATTTTCAAGTTGAATTTTATTTAAATAAATTAAGATTTTACTTATTGCTGTTCGGTTAATCAAAATCAGTCCCAAGTCTTGAAATCAAATCTTCAGACAAAAATTAGTCTGGAAACACACATTCAAAACAAAGTGCTCTGAAGTCCTAGCACCTTCTCAGGAATGTAGGAGCCTGGAAAGTCATCCTCATTTCTGTCTTAGGAGTTCATTATCATTTATCTTGTCTAGTTAATAAGATTTCTTTAATATATCTAAAACTAATTTTTAAATTAATGAGCACAAATAATTTTACGAAACATTACAAATTCATTAAAATATTAAATATAACTTCTTTTCAGATTACCAAGCTATTAGATCTCTCATTTGTGAATTTTATTAAAAATATATATATGAAATCTCATTTTCTATTTGGTTTTAGATGAACAGATTTAAGCTTTCCAATTAAATAATCCTCATGAGGATTCTTGCAAGAGAAAACAGAAAAGTTTCATAATACCTATTTTCTGATGAGAGAAAAGATAAGCTATTTTATATGCAAATGTAACTGATTTCATTTAATTGCTCCTGAGGGAAACTGAAGATCTGTATGTGAACCTCTTACCAACTGGTAGTAACTTAAACCTCCTAATTTTTCTCCCTTAGAACATTAGTTAATGACTTCCTTCCTAATGGAAGGTATACAGTCCTGCAGAAAGCTGTATTGAACAAAATCTCTTAGAAATCAGTTGTTGGGAGCAGTGTGACTCAGCCCTGAAATCTTCTACCTCAGGGAGTGCTCAAAGCTTCAGAAGTCCAGCAAAACTTACATACATTATGTCAAAAGAGCACTACAAGAAGTATTCCTTACCCTACCCTTAGGGAACAGAATTTTGACAGGCATGCAGTGACCCAAATGATCATGCTAATGTATCTATATGAGGTGTCCTTCTCTTATGTTTAAGCTTCATGCTGTTCCTGCGGCAAGTGGTAGAAACACATAACTCACAGCCACAGTAAGGCGCTCAGGCAAGACAAATAACCCATCATCAGGCAGCTTAAATTTCATCTCCACCTAATACCCTGCGGGAAAGATCTACAGGGTGTCTTATAAGAGAAGGCATTTTAAAATTATAATGTCGTTCCAACACAAAAGCCACACTATCAATTTGCAGAGACTGGTCTCAGACTGGCACAGCTGTGTTCAGGCTGCATCACAAAGAATGTTTTCCTATGCTTTGTTATTCCATTGAACATCTCCATGAGTCTTTCTCAGAGAAATGCATCCTTGCCTCTGCCTAGTTAATTTGTCTGCTTTATATTTTATTTACAAGTCTACATCTCCTCTAACTTAGCTAATCACATCATGAAGTCCCAGCACTTCACTAACCTCTGAAACAGAAAGATTTCCTCTCTATTCCTTCATAATCCTTAACTAATAGTTTAGAAAAACATCCAAGTACTACAGCACAGCCAAAGCAAGGGGCACTCACTAAGAATTTTGACATACTTCCCACACAGCTTACTTAGCGTCACATACCATTTTATCTGCACATATACGGACAAACAGCAAACATCTCTTCCAAACTTCTACATCTCTTCCTATTCACAGCACATGGAACTTAAGAAGCCTACTACATGCACCAGTTCTGTGTCTTTAAGGATCTCTTCTTTTTCAGGTGCATATCATGCTCTTCTGATGAGGTGATTTCATTTGTGTTCAGCTGCTCACATCCCAACCCAGGCACATCCAGCCTCTCCTCTGTCCCTAGGTGCTTTCAGCCATCACTCACACCACACTGTCCTGCAAGAGAAAGAGAGTTTGTATATGTTTCAGGCTAATGAAGTAATTTCAGCTTCAAGAAAAACACTAGTGAGTGTTTGGGATGTAGTGAATTTGACACTAAATGGACCAAAAAGGTATGCCCGCTACCAAGTCCATCCCTCTATTGTTTGGCAACAATTTAAGCACATACGTCTTAATGCCTTCTGAAGACACAGTAATTGTGTCAGAGTGTACAAAATGTTTGGTTCCTTGTGGTAAAATTAAAATCTGTTTTAAAGTAAACATTTCCCAAAGAAGCCACAACGGAACAGTTAATTAGGAAACAACAATTTTTCTTCCATTTTATTACCCACAGCAACCTCCAACCCTGATAAGAGTGCTTCTAGATATATAATAAAGCAACTCGCTACTTTCCCAACAAGTGATAACATCGATAGCTCACCTTAGAAGTTTTTTTCTTTTTTTTTAAATCTAAGAAATCAAGTGAAATGGGAGAGAAAACTATCAAAAATTCCTACCTCAGATCATTGATGTCAGCCAAGTGGACAACAGAAGGCAGTAAGAAAGGCAAGACTCAGGCTGTACTATTATTTGGCATTACTAAAATAAAACATGGGAAATTTAGGTTAAATTCTGTATTCAGAGGAAGTTGTGGTGCTGGAACAGGCTTCCTAGAGAAGTTATGGATGCATCCACAGTTGCTCAAGGCCATGTTGGATGGGGCCTGGGGCAGCCTGATCTGGTGGGGGGCAGCCAGCCCACAGCAAGGGTTTGCATCTTGATTATCTTTAAGATCCCTTCCGATGTAAGCCTTTCCACGATTCTATGATTCCCCTTATATGTATAACAGTACTGTAAAAGAGTGAAGAATCAGCAACTTGTGCCTAATTCCTTACCACCTCTTTCAGAAGAAAAAGCTAAGTGGACTACTTCTATCCTGGCATGAGCTCTTCATGTAATTCCACAGCAAATTCGGTTTATACTGAATTATCTTGTGCTCTATTTTCCTTTAAGTGGCAAGGTAGGCAGGGTTAGGAAATTTCTTTATGTATGAAAAATCTTCCTGTATGAGAAAGTCTTCTTGAGCCTGATCTAAGATTGTCCAAGGTGGAAAGATGTTCAGTGCAGACACTACAAAGTTTCTCATCCCCATCAGTATCCCTTTCATTGCTACAAGGAGGTGTGCGGGAAGCTCCAGTGCTGGTAGCAGGAACACAACTGAAAACTGCAAGTTTGTTCAATTTGAGTTTGGCCATAGCAAACTTACAGTTTGTTTCCCTAGAAAACTTATGATTTTCGTTCCACTACAGCACATTTTCAGCTATGAAATGGAGCAGTTTAGTAAATTGCTTAGATGAATAGACAGTATTTTTTAGTAGGTAAATACCCTATATGCTGCAGATGCTGTGCATTAACTATTTATCACAAAGTACAGCTGGAACTTTAGCTGCACCTACAGTCAGATATAGAAAGAGTGCTACGTTAGTTATTGTTCAAAATGATTTGAAGATAGGATTCATTAATTAGAATTTTATCAATGTTAGAAATTCTGCTATATCAGATCCACAACAATTATCTGAAGCTCCTTCTTTATGACTTCAAGGGCATCACATTGCTCTTCTCACCCAAAACCAAAGGATAACACAGGGATAACAGGGATCTGTGGATTAAAGCCTTTGCCAACAAAATTCATTATTATATATACTTAAATGTGCTACTGAATAAGAGATGGAAGTTTCTGTTCAGGTGAAAGTCAGAGAAAAAAAAAAAACCTGCTCTTCTTCTCAGGCTTTGCTACGGGTTTCAAGAATGATTTTTACAGAGTTTGTCAGCTTTCCTATCTATATGCAGACAGTCTGAAAACAGGCTGGAGCCTTCAAATAAAATTGGAAGTTACCATGAATCCTGAGCATGGAGAAAAGCATGCAAGAAGTAATGATGCAAAGAAGTGTTGGAAATGGTTTTTGTTAATTTTCATCTAAGCAGATTGAGAAAGAAAATTACAACAATTCAGTAGTAAATTTAAAGAAAGAGTTGAACCTTTTTTGCTAAGAAAATACTTTTGTACAACATCAGATTTCTGCTTGAAATCTCTTTCCTGACTCCTGAAAATAGTTGCCACTGGGATATTATTATTTGAAGAAGGTATATACTTTTCAGACAGTCATCATAACCCACCTATATTTTTGACCAGTCCAGTTTAATGTTCCGGGTTAGATTTTGTTTGAATACTTACATTCTAATTCATA